CACTCTCAGAGGTCCCTGCAGAGCATGTCTATGATGAGGTGGCATGTCAATAGCTCCAAGTTGCTTTGAGATTCCTGTTGACTTGTTCTGCCTTCATTGATTGGATATTCAGCCCCTCTGACCAAGCCTGAGAGGAACTCTATCTGACCCTCCTGGGGTGTACGCACTAGGAATCCTGCCAGAGAGAACAGTATTAATTTCACTTTATCATTGCAGATTATTATTTTTATTTTCCATCTTTCTATCTCCAAACTTCTCAAGGAACCAAAACCCAGACTGTCATTTTAAAATCTCCAAACCTGTGAAGCAGAAATAAATTGCTATTTGTTTCAGACTATTTTCCTATCGGCCCATGTTGTACCTGGAGCATGGATTTGTATTATTTTCCCTTTGGCCAAGACTGTTGAAGTAAAAGTGATTTCCTACGCAGGCTACCCTGTCAGTGTTTCCTGAGGTGGTCATGCACTGAGGGTCTATGTGAAGTGAGGCCTGAGAGCCGGTAGAATGCTAAGGAAGAACAGGCCAGGTCAAAGGAAGGAGAGCAATGGAGGCTGTGGTCTTTCGGTTGGAGGGTAAGCTCCAACTCGGGAGGAAAGAAAACTGGATGGTTTCTAAAAATGAGAACTAGGCCTAAACTGTATTTAACCAACCTCAGCGACTTCTTCATTCTTTTTCTTTTTCTTTTTTCCACCTAATCCAGTTCTATTTTCCATTCCCATCCAAATGAACAGATCATTATCTTTGTTAGAATGAAGTAAGTACTTACGTACAACTTATGTACGTCATTTCAAACTTCATTTGGAGAAGGCACATCAAAGAAAGTCTCTCCTAAGAAAAGGCCATGCTTTTTTGTAAAGAAGAGTTGAGTGGATAGACTTCTCCTAACAGATTAGCTTGGATTCGAATTGTTGTCAAACTCCTTATCAGTGGACTGACCACTGACTGGTACTGTGACTGTAGTAGATCTTATCTTTGCTGAACTCGTGTTTTCCATTTCTAAAGCAGGGGTCACTATTCATGGGTGTGGTATGGTGAGAAGGTACTTTTCTCTGCACATCTAGGATGCTTCCTTCCATGGAGAGAAAGCTCCACCAGAGAAACCCTGCAGACCTCTTTCTCATCTATCACTCACTATTTCTCTATAAAGAAAGAAGTCCTCTGAGACACGTGGGAGCAGGAATAAGACCTAATGCAGAGAGTTAAGGTTCCTCCTGGAAGAATGGGCTTGCTACAAAACTTGAAATATGCTGCACATGAAAGTGTGCTCTTCCAGAGTGACGGGGGAGGGGGGGTGCCGAGAAGCCCTGACTGATTGAAATGGTGGTGCTACTCTGAGGTCCACTGCTGTTGGGCAATCTAGAAATCACCAGGGATAAACCGATACAGGGCAGGAACCTTCCACAAAGCTGAGGCAGCTGGGGAGACCTCCTCTTTCCTTCAGTTCTTATAATCATGCCAGAATGATTTCAGACACGTAGCTCAGAGTAACAGGCATGAGTTTATTAGAAGGGATAGGAAAAGGGAAAGAGGGATTATTTCTCCCAAGGGAGAAAGTGGGTCCTCTCAGAGAGAAGGATGGCGTATCTCTTTTGCCCTCCAGTTTTATTGGGGTTCCCAGGGAATTTTCCAGACAGTCTCACTCAGGCTCACCTTTTGACTGACAGCATAAGAACTGCACAGAGCTCCCGGAAGAAATGGAGGAAAAACTATTTAAGGAAATGGAGGCAAAACTATTTCCCTAAGGAGACTGAGTGTCCTTGTTTCTGCCTTTATTTCCTGTCTCCTTAATGTGGGTTTATTACCCTTTGAACAGCCCTCAGCCAGCTTTCTTCCTGAGGGCCTAGAGTTTTGCTTGCCAGGGTGATGATAGCTTCCATGCTAAGGAGGTCCCAGGCCACCAGGTAGGGTGTGACATGATCTTGCAGCCACGTTTTTTCTTAAGGTGATATGATGATGGTTGGGAGAGGTTATAACACTCCGGGCCCCCACCTTGAGATGCTTGCCTGTCAGATGAGGATGGCTTGGTTTTTAGTTGCTGTTCTTTACCCTTTTGCTGCTCACCCACTCATGGCTGAGAAGCTACCCAATATAAACCACATCTGCCAGTATTGGGTTTACTGATCTCCTTCTGTTTTACTTCATTACTTTTCAATAGGTTAGGAAGATGGTAAAGAAAGAGAAGTATTTACCAGATACCCCTCAGAGCTTGGTAACTGGTAACTGCTTTTAGTCGGGCTGCTATAAAGATAATAAAATGACTACTGTTGTGGGACACAGTGGCCTGTCATCATGGAGAATCAGGAGGCTGAGGCAGGAGGATCCACATTGAAGGCCAACTTGGGGATCAAGGGAAAATGTAATTTTACAGACTGGGTCCAAAGGCAGTTGCTGGCAGAATTCCTTCTTTTTTTGAGGGGGGGAAGCTAGTGTTTTTAAGATCTCCAACTGATTCTGTGAGTTTCACCACATCATGAAAGATAATCTGCATTATTCAAAGTCTACTTACTTAAGTGTTAGTCTCATCTAAGAAAAACACCTACACAGAGACATCTAAAATAACATTTGACCAAATATCTGGATATTGTGGTCCAGCCAAGTTTATAGGTACAATAACATCACGGTAAACCTGTAGGAAGAGGTACTTCACAAACAAAGACATAGGATTGGATGCTCGAGAGAAAAAACACAAAAGTTATCAAATGGAAGCAATTGTTGTGACACAGATTTTTAAATGGCCGTTTACAGAGGCACAGGGAGGTCCCTATAAGGGCCCACAGGCTATGTAACATGGTGGCAATAGAGTTTACGTTAACAAATCTTAAAACACATGGAGTGAAAACATTAGGCATTATTGTACTGATCTGACTCTTCTCTAAACTAGGGCTGCCATTTCCATTCTGATTCTCTGCTCAAAAATTAGGCGAAAGCTTTTGAGAAGAGCTGGAACAATTTCCCACAGCCCGAACTAACAACTGGAGTCCAAAGATGGCATTTCAGAAGCCAAGACTTGCTCAAGGGAAGGATGCTACTATAGACTGAATTGTTCTCTCCCCAGATTCATATGTCAAGGCCCTAATCTTTGTGTGACTCTTAGAATAGTGCCTAACAGTGTAGGGTCCTGACATGATAGGATTAGTGCCCTTAGTGTCTTTTTAGGAGAAGACACAGGAAGCTCGCTCTTGCTCTCCATTGTGTTCAAGCCATAGACATTTACAGGTCTATGTCACCAACGACCTCACCCCCATCACACCACTGTCCACTTCCTGTGTACCCTGTGCAAGGCGTGGAACGTCTCTGGGTTTTGTTTTCCTAACTGGTAAAACGACGGAGTAACAGGACAAATTCAAATAGAAATCATAAGGATTAACCAAATTAATCCATTTTAAGGGCTTAGAAAATACTTGGCACTTAGTAAGCACTCAATAATATCAGTCCATATTTCATGAGGAACCCCCATTCAGCCTCCAGAATACTAGATTTTCAGAAATAACCCTTCATTTACTTTTAATTCTTATGTAGTTACATTCAAGTTAAAAATATTTCCTCACCTATATGGAAAATTAATGAGTTTATATTAACTGGAACCTCTGATCAAAGGTGTGTTTTAGTAAGTAATTATTCTGCCTTTTAAACTCTATCCGAGAACATATTTCTAGATAACCAAGGCTGACAACAGACTGTGGTTTAATGGACATTCAGAGATAGAAAATATCTAAAAAGATGGGTCTGCCTGGTTTACTTGGTTGTGAAATCATCCCTAAGAAGGAAATGGCATGACTTGCATGTCGCGAGATGTAAGTCCTCTTGTATATCCCTCTGATGTTACCAATCAGATTAGGCTCCAAAAGAGGAAGCTTCCAGTGCACCTCCTCTTCACTAAGGAATATATAATATATAAACAATAATGAATAAGGAATATATAATTCCTTATTCTATTACTATTTCTATAAAGACTTATAACTTGAGTAAACTGTCAACCAGAAAGGGAACACATGTTCTAAGAAAGGGTAAACACCTCTGTGAGAGCTAAGAATTAGAATCTATCAGCTGGGCACGGTGGTGCAAGCCTGAAATCCCAGTGACTCTGGAGGCTGAGGCACAAGGATCATGGAGTTCAAAGCCAGCTTCAGTAATTGAGTGAGGCCCAAAGCAACCCAGTGAGGTGCTGTCTCTAAATAAAAATAAAATATAAAAAAAGGGCTGGGGATGTAACTCAGTGGGTAAGTGCCCCTGGGTCCAATCCCTGGTACCCCTTCCCCCCACCAAAAAAATTATCTACAAGGGGTAACAGATAATCAAAGTGAAAAGAAGTCCATTCGTGTATGGAGTACAAATATTCATGTAGTGGCACCGCGCTTCTCCACAGAAAATCTTAACTGAGCTTCTCCAGAGACCCCCCACCATAATTTGTTCTCAGACTCTCAGTAAAACTTCTGCAAAAGAATTTTCAGGTGGGAGATATGCCTGCAGAGGCAAAGTATGATAAGAGCCTAACCCAAGGCCTTCACAGAGGTGTTTGTGAGTTAGGTCCCCTCTTGAAGGCCAGCTGGTTAGAGGGGAAAAAACAAAAACAAAAAACAAAAAACCAAACCAAAAGCTCTCTTTTCCAGGCACTGACTTTTTTATTTTTTTATTTTTGGTGGTGCTGAGGATTGAACCCAGGGCCTTGTGCAAGTGAGGCAAGCACTCTACCAACTGAGCTCTATCCTCAGCCCCACCAGGCACTGATTTTTCAGACAGAACAGAGAGGAGAGAGAATGTCCTTGGGTTTATTTTTGGAAAACCTGGCCTGAGCTGGGAGCAAAGAGAAGGGAAAAAAAAAAAACCCAAACCCTACTGTTCTGTGAACTTCTGCAGATTGTGGACCTCGGAGCCCTCCCCCTGTACCCTGGGTATAAAGTTCTCAAACTTCCCCTTAGCACGCACAGGCTGCTCTTTGCCTGAAGGGGGGCAACTCACCTGGCGCCCTGGAGCTGCTGCCCACCCCCCCCCTACCCCCCCCCCCCCCTAGCACAAGGGAACACACTGAGGAGCAGGAGCCAGAGCTGGGACTTTGGAGCACCACCCAGCTGAACAGGTAAGACCCGGGTCCACCTGTGGCAGCCCACCTGGCTTCCCCTCAGAGGCCTAAGCAGGTGGAAGAGAGGCTTGATCAACCTCTGTGGGTCCTGAGTACCCTCCAGAAGGAGTTGGAGCCCAAATGACCCAGGGAGTCCCCCGAGTAGTCTCTGCTCAGAGTCAGTGACCAGAAGGAAAACCGCGACTCCCTTTTGGGTTTGGAATTTGTGAAATTTGGGGGAATTGGATAGTACAGAAATTTTGCTCTGAACACATCTGTGTGAAAGTGTGTGAATGAGATGGACAAAGGGAAGGGTTCTGACCCAACCCAAGGGCCCAAGCCAGTGCAGAATCCTGATCCAAGGTTCTGAGTGGTGCCGCATACAGTCTGTGGCGGAATGCCACCGTCTAGGTGGGACTCCAGGTCAGGGGTTGATACAGACCCACAAGGCTAAGAGGATCCTAAGTCCCCGCAAGGGGAATGGGCAGAGATGAATGAAGCGAGTCTTGTCCTAAGTGTGTGACAGTGACATAGGGTGGAAGCTGGGAGGCGCACACACAAAGTAGACAGAGTTCCTTGAACCTCTGGGAATGTATGTTGAAAAAATTTAAAAGGGTTTTAAGGGAAACTCTGGGGTGAAACTCACTCCACAAAGGTTAAGTGCTCTCTGTGAATTAGAATGACCCACCTTAAGTATGGGCTGGCCACCAGAAGGATCTTTAGACAAAAGAGTCATTGCTGAGGTCCTTTTAATAGGAGTTGGACCTCTGGACACCCTGGCCAGTTCCCTTGAATTGATTGCTGGAAAGAGATAGTACAAAGCATCCCCTTGGTAGAGAGCCTGTCTAGATGGACAATCCAAGCTGATGTTAGCTGGAGCATAGCAGCTTCTAAGACTCAATGCAAGGTAGCTAGACCAAGAGAACCTGACAGAAAAAGAAAAAGGCAGAAAAAAAAGCCATGTTTTGCGCAGTGAGCCAAAGAGAACTTACCACCCTACGTGGTACTCTATCCAACCTTGCCAAGACCTCTGGAACAACAGGCAGGAGCAGAGGGTGTCCCTTCGACACCAGGTACTCCTTCCTCCATGGTGTCCTCAGAGCCAGAGTCTTCCCCAGAACAAAAGACTTCTCCTCTACCCCCCAAGACCAGGATGGAAACCCATCTTAAGACCAGAGCCACCACCCAGATGAGAGCTCTCCAGATTCCTCTGTGAGAGGCTAGAGGACTTGCCTACGTTTACCAAGAGGAAAATGTTTGAAGGGGACGATGGCTTTTTATGTATCAGCCTTTCACCTCCACTGATCTTTTAAGTTGGAAAATCATACTCCCTCCTACATGGAGAAGGCCCAGGCCATGATGATTTGAGGCAATCCATTATCCAGACTCACCAGCCTACCTGAGTGAACTGCCGCCAGCTCCTCCTAACTCTACTCAACTGAAGAACACAGATGGGTGACCCAAGCAGCTTTAAAATGGCTAGAGAAACATGTTGCAGATGCACAAGGCAATATCCAAGCCAATGCCCAGGCCCAATTCCCCAACAAAGACCGGGGTGGTACTCCAACATAGGGGATGGATCTCCTTGCAACTGCCCTCACCACAAACCCAGAGGTCAGCCAAAATGGTCCGCCAAGACAAAGCCAAAACGAATATCAAACTCAAGGTGAAATGCAAAGCCAACAGAGGGTCTAGCTGGAAGGAATACCTTACCCGGGGACTCAGCTGAGACTAAACCAATGTATCTACTGCCATCTAGAGGGATGCTTGAAAAATGAATGTCCCCAACTAAAGGAAAACAATCAGGCTGCTGCTACTCCTTACCAGGATAAGAGAGGCAAAGTCATTCAAGGGTGATACCAGCCTTACAAATGGATCCCACAGGAAACTCAATGCCTCGAACACCCATCTGGTACCCCTGAGAAAGATTCTGTGGGCGTGGCAGCCATGAAAAATTATGATGAGGACTAGGACTGGCCAGCTCCATCCCTTTGGTCCCCAGGAGCCTCTGGTCCAAATGTTTGTAGGGGGCCAACCTATGGATTTTATGGTGGACACTGGAGCTCACCACTAGGTGGTGACCCAAACTGTAGGCCCACTTTCAAAGAAACAGACCACAATTGTAGGAGCCACAGGTAGCTAAGCTCGCCATCCTTTCCTGTTGTTCCGGAGTTGCAATTTAGCAGGACGTGGAGTGACCCATGAGTTCCTGAATGTTCCAGATTGCCCAGTGCCATTGATGGGTCAAAACCTGCTGGGAAAACTGGGCCCAAATCATTTTTAGTGAAAGGGCCAGGCAGTCTTATCATTGGGAAAACTGGAAGCAAAAATTTTAGCCCTCACAATTCCCTGGGAAGAGGAATGGCATCTCTTCAGCCTCAGAGATGACAGCACAATAGGGGCCAAAGCTCCCTTTCCAAGTGCCAGGAGTTTGGGCAAAGGACAATCCACCGGGACCAGCCCCAAACATTCCCCCGGTGATGGTGGAACTAAAACCAGGAGCCATACTGGTATGCCTGAGACAATAGCATATTCCTCAAAAAGCACAACTTGGAATTCAAAACCATTTGGACACACTTTTGCAACATGGGATTCTCAGGCCTTGCCAATCACCATGGAATACACCTCTTTTGCCTGTCCGGAAACCAGGAACAATGATAACCTGCCAGTCCAAGATCTACATGCAATAAATCAAGCCACAGTCACCTTACGTCCTGTGGTCCCCAGTTAATACACTTTTCCTAAGTCAAGTCTGTTCCCAGCTGAAGCAGCCTATTTCACATGCTTGGACCTTAAAGATGCCTTTCTTTGCATTCAACTGGCACCACGGAGTCAGCCAATCTTTGCCTTCCAATGGGAAGATTCTAATGAGAACAAAGTCCAGTTGGCCTGGACAAGGCTACCACAGGGTTTCAAAAACTCACCAACCATCTTTGGGACAGCGCTGGCCTCTGACTTACAAGCTTTTCCTGCAAAATAATGTGGGTGCACATTGCTCCAATATGGCAGGAACAACCAGAGGGCACGGCATAAAAGGGACACAGCTGCTTCTGACTCTCCTATGTAAGGCTGGTTACAAATTTTCAAAGAAGAAAGCCCAGATCCCTCAAGAAAAAGTCAACTACCTTGGTTTCTCAGGGACAACAGTGATTGGGCCCTGACAGGAAACAAGGCATATGGTCAATTCCAGTCCCTTCAGCCTGCCATCAGATTAGAGAGTTTCTGGCTGCTGCTGGGTTCTGCTGCCTATGGATCCCCAACTTCTCAGTTATGGAAAAACCCCTCTATGAATTCACAAAGGGAGAAGAACATGATCCCCTAGCATGGGGACCAACACGGTAAGAGCCTTTGAAGATATTAAACAAGCACTCCCAGTGCATCAGGACCAGGACTCCCGAACCTCACAAAGCCTTACTCTCTGTACGTCCATGACTGGTCTGGAGTAGCTATGGGAGTCCTGGACTCAAATGCTGGTGACATGGCACCATCCAGTGGCCTGCTTGTCCAAACAGTTGGACTCTGTAGCCCAAGGCTGTCCACCTTATTTACAGGTCCTTGTGGCCTTGTCCCTTCTGGTGCTGGAAGCTGACAAACTGGCTATGGGACCAGAATTGGTTGTCAGAGTTTCTCATTCAATGTTGACATTACTAGGACACAAAGGGCAATACTGATTGACTAATGAGAGGGTGGTCGGATTCCAGGGCAGGTTATGGGAAAGTCCACGTATCCAGGTTGAAGTTGTGGGGACTTTAAACCCAGCAACTTTGCTGCCCATTGGACCTGGAAGCCTGATCACAACTGGATTGAAGTCATGGATAAAGTGTTCTCCAGTAAATTGGACCTGACAGGCCAGCCTCTCAGGAACCCTGATGTAGAGTACTTCACAGATGGAAGTGGTTTTATAAAAGATAAGTGGCTCTTGAATTGTGCCCAGCCAGACTGCGGCAGTTATGCACTGCTGAGGCCACCAAAGAGGAAGTACCATGGTTGCTCAGGGCAACCAGAGAGCTGCAGAGAGGCCAGGTTAGCTACTTGCAAGAAGCAGGAAAGAGATCCAGTCCCAGGCTTAAATGCTGCCCTTCTGCCTGACCCTCTAAGAGAGTGGGAGCCAAACTATTCCCAACATGAAAGTGATTGGTTTAAGACTGAGAAAGAAAGAATCTCCCAAGTGGATGGTGGAGATTTTCTGATGGCTGCGTAGCCAACCCTGAGGGACTAGCCCCTGATTTTACCAGACAGTTCCACAGGGAACACATATTGGCTGAACAGCACTTGAGACAGTTCTGAGTCAGCATTTCTATGTCCCCCAGCTCACAAGCACCTCCAGGGTGATCTGTAAACAATGTGGGGTCTGTGCCTATGATAATCCTCACCAAGGGCCAGGACTTCTGTCAGGAACCCAAGCAATAGGAAGGACACCCTTTGAAGACTTGGAAGTCGACTTCACTGAACTATCACACCCACAGGACTATAAATATCTTTTGGTTTTTGTGTGCTCTTACTCCGTTTGGGTGGAGGCCTTTCCAACCCACACTGAAAAGGCTAGAGAGAGAGCCAGGAGGCTCCTCTGAGAAATTATTCCCAGATTTGTTATCCCAATAACTATTGGCTCAGATAATGGGCCAGCATTTGTGGCAGAGGTGATATAATCATTGGCCAAGAGTTTAAATATTAGATGAAAATCACAATCGGCCTATAGGCCACAGAGTTCTGGTAAAGTTGAGAGAATGAATAGAACTTTGAAGGCTCAACTGGGTAAACTATGCCAGGATACTCACCTACTTTAGGGTGAACTCCTCCCTATTGCACTATTGAGGATAAGATCACGGCCATTAAGACGACAAAGTTCTCTCCCTGTGAGCTATGTATGGGAGACCTCCTCCACTTATCAGAGGATAACCCAGAGAGACTCGAGAGAAATAGGAGAATTAACACTGAGGCAAGAGCTTCAGGCCTTAGGGAAAACTTTACAGGTTCTCTACCAATGGGCTAGAGAAAGGTTGCCAGTAATTTTGACCACAGATGCACACTCCTTCAAGCCCTGAGGTTCAGTCTGGGTCAAAGAATAGGATATTCAGCGCCTGAAACCTCTTTGGAAGGGTCCTTTCACTGTCATTTTGTCTACCCCAACTGTGGTTGCAGAGATTGGTCCCTGGATCCATTACACCAGACTCAAGCCTGCAGCTGTGGACTGGGAGTGCACTCCAGACCCTGCTACAACCTTGCAGCTGACCATCCGGAGGAAGGAAACACTGGAGAAGTTTGAGGATCAGAAGGACAACAGCCCTGCTCCAGCCACTCGGGGGGCTGGCTGATCAACGCACGGCGGAAGATAGACTTACCACCAGGACAAATGGACTCTTTCAGCCTCTAAGATACTTCTTATACTGTAATGCATTGCTACCCCTTGCTTCTAGGTGTATACATAGTTCTCTGCTTGTTTTTTGCTATTGGTTTGATGATAGTAACTCCCACTGACTGGACTTTTGGTAACAAAACTTCATTTATACTTTTTTACCTTGCTTATATGGGATTTCTAGGGTTTATTTGGTGTTATTAGTTTGGCTTTGTTAACTTATACCCTTTAACCTATGCAATCCAAAATGTTGGTCTATCACTCAGTTGGGTTTCCTTTGATACTCTTAGGGGACTCTGCCCTACTCCTGCCCCAACAGTGGAGATCATGTGAACCGTGTGTCAAGCCGATCAAGGTGATAGATAACACATATTTATAAAAAATAAAATAAAATAAAATAAAAAACAACCTCTCCCAAAACAAAAATAAAACAAAACAAAAATGAATCCATGAAAACATTCCTATTTTGCCCTAGAGACATGGAAACACAAATATCAACATGGTGGCTTTGAGACCACCACTTATAAAGACTCTATGGTGGAATACACGTATAGCTCTCTGGGAGACTATATATATGCTTGAGCTCATGAATACATGTTTGTGCATATGGCTAATGAGGATTTCATGAAACTCGTTATGATGTGTTAAATTAATATCAAGATCACACTAGTGTCCTTAGAGCAATTTTTATCTTTTAATCAACTTTTATAATTTTTCCACATAAGTGCTTTTCTTTTTATATGACATGAGTTTCTTGAGGAAGTGAGTGTTGTTTTCTCATTGTTATAATTAAGATCTGGAATATCCCCCAAAGACAGATGTGGCGAAGACTTGGTCCCCAATTAAAAAATGTTCAGAGGTGAGGCTTTTGGGAAGTGACTGAATCATGAAGACTCTAATCCCATCAGTAGACAATCCATCGATGGATTCACAATTTGAATGGACTCTCAGTAGGTGGTGGAAATTATAGGAGGTGGGACCTAATAGAAGGGAATGGATCCTTGGTACAGTGCTCTTGGCCTTTGTGTTCTCTCTCTCTCTCTCTCTCTCTCTCTCTCTCTCTCTCTCTCTCTCCTTCCTGGCCACCATGAGGTGAGCAGCTCAGATCCATCATGCCTTCTATGCCCTGCTACTCTGTACTCTGACTCAGTACAGACCCACAGCAATGGAACCAGCCAACCATGGACTGAAACTTCTGAAACCATGAACCAAAATAATTCTGTCCTCTTTAACTTGATTTTCTCAGGTATTTTGTCATAGTGACAAAAGGTTAACTTAGAACAAAGTAAACAATATGTGTTCAATGTATTTTAGATTAATTAGTAAAAATGAATGCATGGGAGAATGAAAGGAATGGTGTCTTTTTCACTATGAATGAAAGTACATATGGAGAAATTTATTTAGAAAGTGGAGTGGCTGGGGAATATATCACATAATTGTTGTTTTGTTAACCACCATTTCCTATCTTATCACTAAGAATTTGTTTTGGTCAATTTCTAAATAAGTAGAGATTGAAGTTCATAATGAGTGTACATGATTCTGGAAAATACTTCAAATGCCTCCCTCCTCTTCCACTAAACAGAGCTACTTACCTCGCTGATATCACTGCTGTTCACATCATAAGTGAGTCCAGAGAGTGAGAATGAAATGGTGAGCTGTACAAAAGTCACCATGGTTTGGAGGATCACAATGCTCTATCCAAGAGAAGAAAAGTGCAAGGTTGAGGTTTCTTCACCCAGTTTTAGCCTGCAGTACTCTCAACCTGATGCCCCAGGGAAAGTTTCAGGATCTAACACAAACCTTCTTCCAGTGATCACCCATAAATAGATTCTTGCAGAAATAAATATGGTCATGGGAATTCTAAATGACAAACCTTCCACTAAGAGATTCTTGAAAATTTAGAGTTAGTTAATTTTAAATATTTCTCCTCATGTATTAGTAAAACACTAGGAACACACTGAGATTTGAAACAAATACATAAACACAAAAATGTCACAAGACTAAATTTGACCCATGGAAAGGATGTATTTTCCAACATTTCATATATGGTAACTTAAATAAGCATAGATAGGAATGGAATCACCATTTAACCCAGGCTTCCCACTCCTCAGTATATATTCAAAGAATTTAAAATCAATTTACTATAGTGACACAGCCACATCACTGTTTATAGTAGAATAATTCATAATAGCTGAGCAAGGTGCCCACCTAGGTGCCCTTCAACAGATGAATAGATAAAGAAAATGTGGCATATATATACCGCGAAATATTACTCAGTCCTAAAGAAGAATGGAATAAGTCAATTCCCAAAAAACAAGAGTGGAAAGTTTTCTCTGATATGTGGAAGCCAATCCACAATTATAGGGGGTGGAAAGAATAGAAGTTCAGTGGAGTAGACAAAGGGAAATGAAGAGAAAGGGGAAAGGAGAACAGGAAATGGAAAGACAGTGGAATGAATCTGACAGAATTTTCCTGTGTACATATGAGTACACCACAGTGAATCTCACCATCATGAACATCCACAAGACTGGGGTCCTAATTAGAATAAGTATACTCCAGGCTTGTGTAATCATATCAAAATGGATTCTACTGTCCTTTATAACTAAAAATAACCAATAAAATAAAAAAAGAAAGGACCCAGACCAGCTCCTCAATTCTGTATAATTTTAATTTCCAGAAACTCACAGTCTAATTCTTGATTGTGTTACAAACCCAGTTCCTCCTTTTCTAAACACATTGATCAATGATTGGATTCTATTATTATTATTCTATTATTTCTGTATAACAATACATGTTCATTACAGGAAATTCAAAATAATAATTGTCTATTTTTTTAGAAATCAGACACACACAATATGCACATGATTCTGAAATTATGTGCAAGAAACCTTTGTGTTGTTTTGAGTTTTAGCAATGTCTGATTTCCTTTTTTAAAAATCTTTTTTTGACTTTTAGATATTTCATCTCTAGGCTTCACTCATGGAACACGAATGTAGTTGAAAATTAACACCACATAAGTGTGAAACCATCATCCAACAACGAAATACTTACAGCTGTGGAAGTTTTAGCCAATAAGCCCTCAAAGTGCTTGGAGCAATCAAATGATAATATGTCAATTAAATTCATTTAGAGAAGAATTATCCCAATGAATGCAAGTACTGTGCTGATAATATGAACTCCAATATTGATTCCAATCCGAAAGAGACTAACACATTAATTGAAAGCACCTAGAACTCTTTATTATCAAACATGAACACTTTCCAGTGTGGAGAGGTGTCCCACAGGGTCTTAGAGATACTGGCTACATTGGCTACTGCAGAGGATTCATAAGCTATTCAGTTCTTTTCTTGTTTTTTCCGACAGTTTGCTGGTACTTCATGGATCACTGGAGAGAAGGAAATAACTGATCCTACACAAATGAAATGCCATGGGCAGGGTCAACAAGGCAAAGGTTCTAATTTGTTTCAAATTGTTGGTAAAAGTGATCTTTAATATGTCCACTCTGCACCCTGGATTAAAAGAACACACACACACACACACACACACACACACACACACACACTTCAGCCTTCTAAAATGACCCTTTGACTATTGAAATAAGAGTGGATAAGTAAAGGCTTTTTTGGCTAAACATCTTATGGGAGATATTTTTAAAACATTTGGTAAAATTCTGACAGATGAACACTGCTAGTGTTATATAATAAAATCTTTCTAGGTCTCTTTCTAATTTTCACTTTATATCTGTACCGGTATTTGTTATAGAAGATAAAATTTATTTACCAGAATAAATTATACAGAATATAACGTATTTACCATTATCAAGATGACTTGTGTTTAAATGAAAATTTTGTTATTATAAATAAATGTTCATTTAACGTTTGTTTATATATTTCTACTTGTGGTCTTACTGGATAAATTTATCAGGATCATATTACACTGTGCATTGGACATTGCAAATTGCACACCAATGTTTTTATCTATTTATGCCATCACTAGAAATGTTTGGGCTTACTGGGTTATGACATCCTTGCTAAAACTTCAAAGGATTAAGTGGGATAATTATACAACATATTAAAGTAAATAAAAACATTTTTGCAAACTTTTTCTCTGTGATGTACTAGTAAATTAAGACTTTTCCTCTCTGTTTCTTTAATATTTAGAACAACACTTGGCATGTGATAGTAGATCAATCTTTCCTTACCAAATGAGTTAAATTATTTAAAAATAAAAATCACATGAGCCTATTGCTAACATTCTAAAACAAAATAATCAACATGTTTATAGGTAAGTTAAGGATTTTATGCAAAAGATGGAATTTATAGTGACATATGTTGCTATAGAAATTTCCTCAATTGCTGCTGAATACACACACACACACACACACACACACGACAAACCACTGTGTCGATTTCAGAGACTAAGAACACATGGTATTTTAAATTTGTGCAGTCTTGGTGGGATTGTAAATTAGTACAACCACTGTGGAAATCAGTATGGAGGTTCCTCAGAAGACTATATGCGTGGAACCACCATATGACCAGCTCTACCTCTCCTAGGTATTTAGCCTAAACAATTAAAGTCATCATGCGGAGTTGCACGGAAGATGGAAGGAGACTCTCATCATTATACAGAATACGTGTATGATGTTGTGAGGAGAAAAAGAAAAAAAAAGTGTGTCACATTAGATTGGATAGAGAGAAGTGATGGGAGGGGAGGGGAGGGGAAGGGGGGATAGGAAGGGCAGCAGAATAGAATAGAAATTATGATTGCTGTATGTATATAGGTGACTCTATGACCAGTGTGATTCTGCAATCTGTACAAGTAGAAAAATGAGAAATTATACCCCAATTGATTTAAAGGTATGAATTGCCAAGATCATTGTAATGTCATGTGTAGCTAATAAAAGAAAGAAAGATAGAAAGAGAAAGAAAGAAAGAAAGAAAGAAAGGCAAAAAAAAAAAAGTCATCATGCTACAGAGATCCACGCAGACCCATGCTAATAGCAGCACAATTCACAGTAGCCAAACTATGGAATCAGCCTAGGTGTCCATCAACAGATGAGTGGACAAAGAAATAGAGTTTTACTCAGGCATAAAGAAGAATAAAATTGTGTCATTGAAGGAAAATGGATAGAACTTGAGACCATTATGTGAAGTGAAATACGCCAAAGTCAGAAGGTCAAAGGTCATATGTTTTCTCTCATATGTGGAAGCTAGAGAGGAAAAAGGGAAATAAGGTGGAGGCAGATCTCATGAAGATTGAAGGGTGAACAGTAGAACAGAGGAAAGGGACCTGGGGGAGGGAGGAGGGAAGGGAAAGGGGAAATACTGGGAATGACATTGATCAAATGATATTGTTACATTGTGTGCATGTACAAATATATAACAACAAATTATGTACAAAATATTATGCAAACAAAAATAGGGGATAAAATAAAAATGGGATTTTGAGCTTCTGCTGAAGAAAATCATCTTATTTTCCAAAATGATTGAATTCTAAAATAAAAATACTATCATGCATACAAAGACATATGTGGTTAGACAAAATTATGTGCATGAGAAGATAAATAAAACTCAAAATAATCATTGTCTTTGAGCTTAAAAAAGGTGAAAAATGAAATGGAGGCTCTGGGATGGCCTTCAAAAAATTCTACTTATAAAGATTTATTCACTTTATAATGTAACATTGAAACAAATCAGGCAAAAAGATAAATATGTTGACCCTGGCTAGTAAGTAAAGAAGTATCTGTTCCCATACTGTCTGCACACACATCATTACTAAACAGGTAACAGTAATAGAAAGCAGAGAAGTCTCTGCAGCACCCCAGGTCCTCATCCCTGCCGCACCCCAAGTCCTCATCCCTGCAGCCTGGATCTGTTCCCAGCCAGGGCTCTTGCACATCCCAGACCAGATTCGGGCAGAGTTGCCACAAAGTTCTACCAGAATAAATAATCCCCCAAAGAGCTGTGCTTACCTTGCTGTTTACCCAAAGCTGCTCAGGCTGACCTTATTTGCAACCTTCTTTACATAATTTTCACTGAGTCACTGTCCCCAGGAAAAGGATCATCACTCTAGATTTCATGATATTATCAGGAGATAACAGTCTTTAATGCATAGAAATACAGATATTTGTAACAGAGTTCTGAGCTACTCTGATGATATTTGTTTTCTCTTTATTCTTTTGTTTAGACAGAAATTCAAGTGTCCCTATCAACCAAAGAAAACTCCAAACCCTGCTCCTTTTTCTGTGTCAAAACTGATCTTTTTTTTTTTTTTGCAGAACTATACTTTTACAAGATGAGAATAATATTTCTATCCCCTTCTCAGCAACCAAATATTGGGGAGAAACA